GTTCAAACTAACAAACCTAAATTTTTTTACCTACCGTTGCGCCACCTATTTATGGCACACTGTGAATCTGTATATGTGATATGCTAAAAAAGGTTGCCGAGCAATACTCTACATGATCAATAATATGATACCATTTAAATTAGTTAATTTCACATTCTGTTCAGGTAGAACCCTCTTTAGTCACTTATACTTATTTTATATAAGATTTTAAAGATTTGCCAAATTATAATATACTCAAACTTGTTTAATTTCATATAGTTGGGACCGTACGTTTTGGTGTGTGAAATTACACAATGATAAAATATAGACATTTTCATATGATTATGTTGTTTTTAACTAAACTTTCTATTTAAGACTATAAGTTTTGTTAAATGATAAATTATTTGAGTCCATTTTTAGTTATAAAGTTAACTATAGACAATTATTATAATAAAATCATATAACTTATTTATTATTACTCCTTGTCATACCCAATATTTAGTAAAATATACATAAAAGACAACAATTTTGTTGACTGAAATGTGAAATTACACGATCAAGCCTATGTTCACAATGTAAACAAAACCACATGTGATGTGAAAGTGATTTTACCCAAGTGTGAAATAAACCCCATGTTATAACATATACCCCAAGATGGGGCTAGTAGTAATGTGTGAATTCAAACAGGTTGTGAAATTGTACAATGTGACATAATACAAGTCCGAGTGTAATATATTGATAGTTACCGTATAATAAGGATGTCGTTAAAAAATATAGTTTGCCGTTTATATTGTTTTGCACTTTAATCACTTTACCATGATAAAAATGACCAATTAGATTATTATAGCATTCAAAAGCTTTAACGTTTTCTATAAATGTCAAATATTCATTAATTAGTTGTTAATTTTATTTCTACTAGATTTTAAATTGCTTTACCATTATTATCATAATTGGTTTCACAAATAATACAAATATGATGGAATTTAAGTGCATAATACAAATACAATGAGAATTGATTTTTCACAACATTTTCATATAATTTGTAATTTTTTTCGACAATCGGTTTAATCGATAAATCTTGTAATTTATCTAAAATTACTACACATTCGGGTCTTTGTCTCCAATCAGTCGAACCATTCGTTGAGTACTTATTAGCACTCATTTCAACCAATAATTTATTTAATTTTATTAAATTATTTTTAAGAAATAAAGTACTATTGGATTGCAAATCAGAGTTTAATCTAAAATATAATTACCAAAATCAATTTATAAGAAATGAATGTAAAGTCACTTATTTATTAATAAAATAACATACTTTCTATTTTTAGTATTTCTAAAATTAAAACCAAAATTATTTTTTAGAATTGAAGTATAGTGACTATTAGTTTGCAAATTTATATGCAATCTAAAAATGGAAATTATTGATATTTATCTATACTATGATTGTATATCTCAAATAACTTACTTTTCAATTTCAGAATTACTTGAATTAAAACTAAATATTTTTGCTCCAATGAGTGCCAGACTATAGACATCTATTAAATGGTTGTATTCAGTGGTCTGCGCTTCCGGTGCCTGATATTCAATATCTCCGACATCTTTGGTGTGTTTAACACTACTTTGTTTGTATCCATCACTCAATACATCCACTGATTTAGACAAACCGAAGTCACATAACTTTATATATCTATTATACCTATCGTTGTTGTCAATCAACACATTATCGGGTTTGAGGTCTCTGTGAATGATATGATTTTTATGCAAATACTCCACACTTTCGACCAATTGTTTGAATATTTCATATGATATATAATATTCAAATTCACTAATTATTTCTCCAAATAAAGGTTTTTTATTATCTAAAAATTGTGTTAAATTTCCGGCCAAACAATCCATTAGAATGTATAAACAGTTGCATTCAATCCATGAATAGTAATATTGAATAATATATTCTGACCGCAGTTTTATCAGATTTTGTGTTTCATTCAAAACATTTTGTTTTTGTTTTTCATCCAAACCTTTAATATGAATTGCACATCATTTATGCAAATTAATATATTAATTATTGAAAATTAAATAGTAGTACCATTTAGTGGACATTTTTTAACTGCATATTTGTCTCCATTGTGTCGATCATTTACTTTAAACACATGTCCAAAACTACCCGATCCTAACTTTTCCAGTATTTCATACATTTCTATGTTATTTGTTTCTACAGTATTGTCGAATATAATTTATAAATCAAATAAAACACATTTAATTATTATAATATTCTTACCATAATGTTGTGTTATTTTAAGTGTCTTGGCATAATTATTATATTTAGGGATATAAATGGTGTTATAAGTCAACTGATGTTTATTTACGATGAACTCATTAAATGTTGTAAATTGTGTCTCAACAAATACAGATTTATCATAAAAGTACACTTTTTCATCACTTATTCCTAAAATAGTTTTATTATCCATATTAACATTACGATACTCTCCAAGATCACTAAAATATAAATTATTAATCAATTCCATCTTTTCACAATCTAAATTATATTTGTAAACGTGTTTATCAAATGATAACATTATTATAAAACTATTAAATTCAGAAATATATAAGAAACAAGTTTTTATATTGTAGACATTTTGTAGTAATTTTATTTTATTTTTTGGCTCATCAGCTCTCAATTCATTCCACACAAACACTTCACCATTAGATGTAATGGCACACGAATACTCAATACCGCAAATAATGTCCACAATTTTATAATCAATGGGAAATTGTATTTCAATTGGTTTTTGTGTTTCCATTGAGTGATATTCCCATTGATATACCCGTCCATTGAATGTCAGAGCAATAGCTATGTATTCAAAACATAATATTTTCTCAATACGTATATCATGTAAATTACTTAATAATATTTTATGCGGTTTATTATAAGTGTTTCCATTGGGCCTTTTATTTAAACGCCAGCCGTATATCTGTTGATCGCGATTCAAAGCCAAAACAAATTCTTTTTCAAAGAAAAATTGTTGTATATTTTGGTGACTTAATTGTGGCACTTCTTCGGGCGTATGTATGGGTCGGTTGTGTCCTAAACCCAGAACTCCATAGGAATTACTGCCCAACCCATAGACCCGATCATCAGTTGTCACAAACAACACGTTTTGTCTTTCTTGATAATAGTAATCATTGATAACGTGAAATAATTTGATTTCTTGTCTTAAATTGTCGCAAATTTCATTACAAATTTTAAACTTATTTAAGATTTCAGACATTATAACAACAACAATAATTTTAGTTAACAATAATCGGTGTATTTAACTTCTGTTAAACATCTGTTTTCAAGGTATTTACATACAACGAACACATGAGTCAAATTTGCTTATTAATTAAAATTAAGTGGTAATACTATATAAAAATGCATAGATAGGGCAAACTATCCACCGATTATGTGTGTACAGCATATGTGTACACCTGGAAAACGTAATCCCCGCATCGTATGATAAACACACAATTTAATTAATCTTAAAAGTAAGTTTATAATTGTGGCAAATTATATAAAATGTTGAATTATAATAATTAATGCAGTATTGATCATAATTAGTGGGCAATAAAACTTCATTAAAACACAGAAAAATGACGAAAAGTATGATAAATACATAAAAATATGATTGAATACAGGGTTTGGTTGTTAGAGACGTAAACACAACACATGATAATTGCCATACAATTTATATTTCAATTAATTATTTTGTTAATATTCAGTTTGTATTTAAAAGTTTGATAAAACCACTTACCTTAATCAATGAAACACCAATGCATTTCAGATTATATTATAAAAACATCTGCATAGAAACAGTAATAAGATTAACGTCAACAACCAATAGAAAACAATAAATAATTGTTTCTAGTTAAATTCATTTACAAAGTATATATTAATATAATATTATCATTAATTCCATGATTGTAATAATCTCGTTATCGTATTACAGACCTCTTGACGGGACACGTACTCAGTGTTAACGGCCCGACGGAAGGGCACCTCATAGTCGGCCAACACTACCTCTTCGATGCCGTATGGGTTGAGTCGGCCCAACCAGTGCTCGTTAACTGTGAACAACACGCGATGGCCGGCGGCTATCATGTGTTCAGCGATACCTATACTGGGGTTCATGTGACCCACGTTGAATATCGGCACGAATAGCACTCTTAATGCTGTATTTGCCATAGTTTTTATATTAGTTTAAAATATTCCCTAGGTCACTATTCTGGTTGTTGTTTAATACTTTTATAATGTTGCACTTTTGCCTTATGCTAGAATATTACTGTTTAATTTTAAGGCAACCAATACACACGTTTAGCCCAATCACCCATTTTTACATCTGGCAAACTGAGGTTAAATTGTCAAATCATATTTTTTCATCTACATCTCTTTTATTCCTATACAAGGCACCAATTAAAATATTATCTTAACAATTAATTGTGTAATAATTTTAAACAGTTTCAGAAACAACATGAATATCTAAAAATTATTAAACTGAATCATCTTATGGTTGTAAAATGTTTATGCAATATAGATGTATCTTTTTAAGCATTTGTAAATTTTAATTATGTTATGTTAAAATTATTAATCAATAATAATTCTGCTGTTTTAATAAATTAATATAAATTCGTCTCTCTCTCTCTCTCTCTCTCTCAAATTAAGTGACCGAACCATTTCAGCGTTGGATGAAAATTATTTTACAGGTAATTTAAGTTTGTAATGAATGTTTTAAACTATGTTTAAACTTAATGTTTAAATTTTTAAAACACTTGAGTTAAACAAACAAAGAAGTTTACATTATTTATAAAATCAATTCATGGATGTAAAATGTGATTTATAAAATAGATTTTCTAATCTTCCCCCAAATTCTATGTCAATTCTTTAGCATAAGATTCCAGATTAAAATTAATTCTAAGGCTGTGTTGAATTTACGGGTAATGATATTCCTATGGGTTAATATTAAAACTTTATTAAGCAATTTTTTAAGCATTAATTGAAGTATGGTTAATCTATAGTATCGCGTACAAAATTTTACAAAAATCTAATTATACGGTAACTTTTAAATTAGTGATCCTAATCATGATATTTTCTAATTTAAAAAAATATAAACCTTTCTATATATCAAAATTTAAACCATACAGAATAATTATGTATTTATTAATTTACATCGCCTCGTTCCCAAATTATTCCCCATAAGAAATAACATGGAATTTTTCTAAATTAAATAATAATAAATTTAATAATCTTTATAATATCATAGTTATTACAAATTATATTAACTTTGCTAAAATATATTTAACTTGTAATTAGGGACAACATGATTGATTTATACATATTTATTGCAATAATAACCATATGGTTATTACTTGTGATCTACAGCACGTGTGAACACATATACATCGATAGGTTGAACGCCGGGCGCGCGGCGAATGGCGGCGCATGTGTTGAGCAAAACCATGTGTTAAACGCGTTGTCTTTGGTCTCAAACTATAGACAATCGATTCGAGTTAACACAAGTCATACGTCTAGTAATGGGAGCCCTTTGGATGGCATCCGAGTGTTGTGTCACTTATCTACTGTTGTATATCATTATTCAAATTTACTCAATAGCTTTCATGTCAGGTATATTATGCTTAATATAATGGATATCACGTTTACGCTCAATGGTATCGCATGTGGGAAATGGTTTGTACACCAATTGGTCAACAATAGGCACAAATCATTTACACAAATTACGACACGTTTTTATTTTGATCGCGTTTTGCGCGCACTTCCCGTGTATTACCTCTCGCTTTACATTAATATGTTAGAAGCGGCATATTTGACCAAGGCCAACAATTTTAGGCTAATTACTGTTAACTGTAGTTATAAGCAATTGTTTCTCGAAGCAATATTTGTTGGGAATTTAATACCTAACACGATAATGGTAAGTTAACCATAGTACTACATTTCTCATTTATTTATTAGCTTATAGTGCTGTATAGTAACATGGTCACTTATGGTACTAATCCAATTGGTTTTAGTGACACCCTTGTTTATATACTTTATTCGACGGTAATTAATCTAGTTCAATTTAATTATATTTTAATATTAAACATAAATAAATTGTTGTTATTTGCAGAAATCTCAAGACTGGTATTATTACCATAATTATTGGATGCGTAGTGTGTATGGTTGTTACCATGTACTACTTTCCAACAAA